TCCTCCTCCTCTGCCTTCTTCCTCCTCCGCCTTCCTCCTTCTCTGCCTTCCTCCTCCTCCTCTACCTTCTTCCTCTGCCTTCCTCCTCCTCCTCCGCCTTCCTCCTCCTCTGCCTTCTTCCTCCTCCTCCTCTGCCTTCCTCCTCCTCTGCCTTCTTCCTCCTCCTCCTGCTCTACCTTCTTCCCCCGTCCTCCTCCTCCGTCTTCCCTGCCTGCACTTGGGGAAGAGTGAAGCAGATGCTGTGTCAGTATTGCTCAGGCCTCAGTGGTCCTTGGCCCCAAGCCACTGCCGGCTCCCTGTAGGCTGAGATTTGGGGCGCACCCACCAGCTTTTCCCTATCACCAGAGAGCGAGGAGGAAATGGTAGCCTCTTGGGGCACTTGAGACCCACCCCCCCCAATTCTCCATTTCTCTTTGCTCCAGAATGGGACCACCGCCCTTCCCAGGCCCTGCCCGTGGGGCCATCTGTCTGTCGGGCTCGGTGCCCGTAGCTGGAGGGCCTGGAGGGGTATCTGAGGCTGGGAGGGTACTGTAACCCCACAGGGCTGCGTCTGCCTCCACCACTCCCATCCCCCTTCACACCCAGGCACAGCGGGCAGCCCCTGGGCGGCAGGGGCCTCTGACTTCACTGCGGCTCCCCCTCTCCGCTACAGGCAGAAGTTGACCCTGTTTAAGGAGATGCTGGCAGGCTGCGGGGCCGGCACCTGCCAGGTAATTGTGACCACCCCCATGGAGATGCTGAAGATCCAGCTTCAGGACGCAGGCCGCATTGGTGAGGGCATGGGGGCAGGGATGGAGAGCCAGGGTGGGGCAACAGCTGGACCCCTGTCCCCTGCCCCCACTGCTAGGAGAGAGAGCCAACAGGCCTGTCCCCTTTCTTCCCAGCCGCCCAGAAGAAGATACTGGCTGCCCAGGCCCAGCTCTCAGCCCAGGGGCGCGCCCAGCCCTTGGTGGAGGCTCCGGCTGCCCCCCGGCCCACGGCCACCCAGCTGACCCGGGACCTGCTGCGGAGCCGCGGCATTGCCGGCCTCTACAAGGGGCTGGGGGCCACGCTGCTGAGGTGGGAGAGACGGGGAGAGCGGGAGGAGGAAGGTGCACCAGCCCACCCCACACCTTCCAGTCACTGCTGCCCTCCTCTGCAGGGACGTCCCTTTCTCCATCGTCTACTTCCCCCTCTTTGCCAACCTGAACCAGCTGGGCCAGCCGGCATCTGGGGAGAAGTCTCCTTTCTATGTGTCCTTCCTGGCGGGCTGTGTGGCCGGGTGTGCGGCTGCTGTGGCTGTCAACCCCTGTGATGGTCAGTGCGCCAGGCTGGAGACGGGGTCTGTGAGGGGGTGGGGTCGGAGGTGAGCACCACACTGACCTCCTCTCCACCCACAGTGGTGAAGACGCGGCTCCAGTCCCTTCAGCGTGGTGTCAATGAGGACACCTACTCGGGGTTCCTAGACTGCGCCAGGTGGGCGAGGCCCCAGGGGCCAGGGCGGGACCCCAGGTGGGCGAGGCCCGAGGGGGGCGGGGTGGGACCCCAGGTGGGCGTGGCCCCAGGGGGCAGGGCACCGCAACACCAGCTCTGACGCCCCTCTCCCCACAGGAAGATCTTGCGGCATGAGGGCCCCTCGGCCTTCCTGAAGGGCGCCTACTGCCGCGCGCTGGTCATCGCCCCGCTGTTCGGCATCGCGCAGGTGGTCTACTTCCTGGGCATCGCCGAGACCCTACTGGGTCTGCTGCAGCGCCCCCAGCCCTGAGCCCAGGGCCGCCCCACGCCCACAGCTGAGCGGGACCAGAGTGGGGCTGGGGCCGGGCAGCCAGCCCAGAACTGAGCAGGAGAGAGTCTCTCCCCACCCCTCCCCACATGGACGGGGGCAGGCAGAGGAAGGGGCACAGGGTCCACGCAGGTGGTGCACACGCAGGCTCTGGTGGGGTTTTGTCTGCGCTATCACTGGGATCAATGTCTTATTTATGTAGAAAACACAGAAATCTTTACATTCCTGGAGCCAGCCCCGACTCCAGCTCCGCCCCAGCCGGAACACCCCCAGAGACAGAGCTGGTCTCTGGGCTGGGGGTCCCAGGCCTGGGCTGGGCAAGCTGGACCCTACCCTCCAGTCTACCAGCTCTCGTCCCCGAGGCTCACCCCTAGTCCACAAAGGGGACCCCGCACAAACGTATTTATTAACTTGCCGGGCACAAGTGGCCGTGTCTGTCCCTCCGTCCAGCGGTCCAGCCCCCCCCGCTGCTGCTCTTGCCCTCGGCCAGGACTCCACTTTGCCCACACCCCGGCCAGCCTTGCAGGAGGATCAGGGTCTCCTGCCCGCCCATATTGAGCCAAGAACCCCAGGCGGGGGTCACACTGAGTTCTGACTCCCAGGGCAAGCCCCCTCCACTGCGGGACCCAGCATCCTTCCTAGTGGGCCCCCTGCCCCCACCCCAGGCTGGGGGCCCAGAGCGTGTGAGGTCTGTGTGCGTGTGCGAGTGTGGTGGGGAGCAGGATGTGCCCACCAGCCCTCAGCTGGCCTGGCCCCTCAGGGATGGGGTTGTGGGGGGGCTGCTGCCCTCCCCCACGTGGCCAGGCAGTGTGTATGTGTGTGTGCAGTGTGTGTGCGTGCATGTTGTGTGCGCTGTAGGTTCCCCATTGATCCTGTCCAGAAATTTATTTCGCCTGCCTGGCCTCTCCTCTGAGACTCCCACCCCGGGTCCACAAGTGGCCAGGGGGAGGGCGCGCATAAGGACCAGTACGGAGCTTGGGCACCTGCTCTGCTTTCCAGGGGCTAGGTGCTGCCCCCTCAGTCCTCCCAGGGCCCATCCTGCTCTCTGGGCCTCTGCACGAGGCCTGGGACCACACTCTGTAAAGCCCCGCCCCCCCAGTCCCAGCCCACTGACATTGTGAATTGAGGCAGGCCGCCCTGCCCCGCCCCCGGTCATGTGATCGTGTTGGTGATTGACCCTGACCTGGTGCTGTGTCCCCCCACCCGGGCCCCTCCGCGGAGGCCCCTTCCAGTGACACTACCTGGGGCTCAGGCCTGGGCCCCCCAGTTCACGGTTGTTGCTGGGAGCTGCCCTCTCCCACCACATCTGTACGCTGGGAGCTGCTGCTGCTGCTTACAGAATTATATTTTTTTCTTTTGAGGAGTTTTAAGAAGTTGTAACTTTTTGTGTCTTGTCATGTAAGAACATAAATAAATATTCTAAGTAGATGCCTCCTCTCTCAGACTCTGTTGGGGTGAGGGGGGAAGGGCAGCCCCCTCTTCTAACTGGCTCCCCACCTCCTGCGCCCGGCCACCCACTGACCGGCACATTGGCCTGGAGGGGGTCCTGGGCGGAACTGCCTCCTGACCTGACTCCTTCGCCGTCTGGATTGGGGTGCAGGAAGTGCAGCCTCAGTGCCTCGCCTCACTGGCCCTAAGCCGCCCTTGGGATAAAAAACGGAGCTGGGTTCGGGGGCCCCTGAGTTGCCAGCCAGCCGGGGCGCCGCGGTGACGGAGCGGGCGGAGCCGGCGCTGATGCGGCCCCCGCCCCCCTTTCCTGCGCCGGGAGCAGTGCATTGTGGGAAACTCCCAGTCCTTGCATCTGCAGCCGCCGGCCGTGGACCCGCGGAGAGCGCCCAACGCCGAGGTGGGAGCGCCAGGAACAGCAGCGTAAGGCGGCGGGGCTCCGTGGCCTGGGCCCAGGGCGGATGGGGCGCTTGGCCCCTTGGGGCAAAGTGGCGGTTCCTACTTTGAAGGTCACCGGGGGGCGCGCCGGCCCCTTGCTCTCTTCAGCACAGCGGCCAGGGGAGGGGGAGGGGGCAGCCGGGTGACGTCAGCATGAGCCCAAAATAACCGAGGGTCTGCGGGGGAGAGCAAACCACCTGCCTTTTGCAATCTTGACTCCCAGCAGCTGGGTGTCCCTCCAGAACACCTTGGGGTGAGGGGCTGCTGCAGCTTCCTGGGAAGGGGGGTGCAGCTGGGCCTGTCACCAGGACAGCCCATCAGGCTGTGACCTTCAGGCGACCTTCGGTGTGGTTAGTGTGCGTGGCCAGGGTGGGGAACCTGAGCTGCCGCCTCACACTCAGACTCCCTCTCCCTGTGGGTGAGGGTAGGGTTTCTCATCCTCTGGGGGGAGAGGCAGACAGGTGTGTCTAGGTCTTCAGGGAGAGACGACTCAGGCCCCCACAGTCCTCTCCCCCAACCCCTGGACACTGAGGATCTGGGCCCCGCCTTTCCTGCAGCCCAGAGCCCTCGGCCTCTGACCTGGCCCAGATTGGGGGATGCTGATGCTGGCTGACACAGCGTGTGCCCACCCCAGGCTTACGCCACGGACCCCTCTGCCCCTAGAGGCAGGCGCAGCCTCAGGCCCAGGAAGGACTCCCTGCCCTTGAGCTGGAGCAGGCGAGGTCGGTCTTGGGGGTGGGCGCCAGGAGCTGGGGAGGGGCAGATGGCCGGCCGGGAGGCACAGGCCTGTCACTGCCCGCCTGGCTTCTCCAGCCCCCTGGGGAGACACCTCAGGTTTGTCACATCCAGGTCCTAGTGGCCTTGGGCCCACTCCCACCCCAGCAGCGCCCAAGAGCCCAGATCCTGGGTTCTTGCTCTGCCCTGCCCCCGCTCCACGTGGACTCAGCCTCTCTCCTGAGAAGGGTACATGGTCGGCTCTGCCCAGGCCCACCGTGGCTGCCATCCACCTCCCCTGACCACATACCTTTCTCAGGGCTGGTTGGGCTCTCATTCCCCTGTCAGGGCCTCACTCCCCCGGGCTGGAGTGGTGGACCCAGCACATGTGTGGGCAAGACCATTTTACAGACAAGGAAACTGAGGCTTCTGGCTGGTCTCATCCCGCCCCCCCAGCCTATTCAGGGCCCATAGCCCCTGCCTGTGCGGCTGGAGGGGCTTCTCAAGGAGCAGCAGGGGACGGATGGAGGCCAGGCCCTGGATGAGGAGGGTCCTGAGCTGAGGTTCCTGGGGGGCTGCAGAGAACTGGGCGGTTGTCTATGGAGAGCAGGCGGTGGGGGGTGCTGGACAGGAGGGCCGAGTCTCTTGCACAGCCTCATTGTGTCTCCCTCTAGGCCCATATAATGCCCAGGGGTGAGCTGTCCTGAGCCGCTGTGGTCCAGCCACCTGCCCGTCCACGCAGCCCCACACAGCCTGCCAGCACTGCCCACCATGGAATCCAGAGGGAAGTCAGCCAGCAGCCCCAAGCCCGACACCAAGGTGCCCCAGGCCGCTGCTGAGGCTAGAGCCCCCCCAGCTGCAGATGGGAAAGCTCCCTCGGCTAAGCCAGCAAAGAAGGAGGCCCAAGCGGAGAAGCAGGAGCCGCCAGCGGCCCCCACCCCACCGCCTGCCAAGAAGACCCCAGCCAAGGCAGACCCCGCCCTTCTCAACAACCACAGCAACCTGAAGCCGGCCCCCGTGGCCCCCAGCAGCCCGGATGTAACCTCTGAGCCCAAGGGCCCTGGGGATGGGGCCGAGGAGGACGAGGCCCCCAGCGGGGGTCCAGGGGGCCGAGGCCCCTGCCCCTTCGAGAACTTGACCCCTGTGCTGGTGGCCGGGGGGGTGGCTGTGGCAGCCGCAGCCCTGATTCTTGGTGTGGCCTTCCTGACCCGGAAAAAATGATGGCTCGTGCCCAGTTGTGGGCACAGCCGCTTCCTGTACAGACCTTGGGAATCTCGTGCATGCCAATTCCACACACAGCTATCTATACATGCGTACATACATAGTACATCTACATATACCCCCACATACACGCAGAGGGAGAGAGACGGACAGGGCCCCCGGCAGTGGAAACCAAGCCCCCTCGGCTGGCCCCCAGCACCTCCCCTCCCCCCCTCTGAGGCAGAAGGTTTACCCAGCAGCATGGGGCGGAGCTCTGACATCCTCTGGTGGAGGGCTCAGCCTGGGCCAGGGCACCCGGGGGCAGCAGAAGGAGTGGACTCTGAGTGTGGCCCGTCCGCCCACGGCAGGTGTGTCCACAGCGGACATGCTCACGTGTGCCAGCCTGTCCCGAGAGTTCCCAGTGGTCCTGTGAGCTTCCTGGCAGCAGCGTCCTGATGACCCCCCAGGGCAGGAGCCCTCAGGGTGGGCAGGAGCCCTCAGGGTGGGCAGGGGTCCGGGATGGGCTCTGACCTGGGTCTCCCCCTGTGGGGACATTAAAGGGTGTGGCTCTTTCACTCTCCCATTTCTGCTCTTTGCTTGCAGCTGGGGGGGTCCGTCTGGGTGGGCCCGATGCAGCGGGGCTGACCTGAGGCCGGCGGTCACATCGACACAGCTTCCATGCCACCTCCGCTCTTCGTCACCTGAGCCCAAAGGCTGGTCTCGGTCTCCGGAGGGCCCCCCTGCAGTTCTCCTTCTAGCTTGTGACCCAGGGGAGCCCCTGAGGCTGGGACCACCGCACTTCCTGCCCTGAGCCCCCTCCCATCCTTTGGCAATTGTCCTGGGGGCAGCTGAGAGCCTGGCGGGGGGGGGGGGCCATATCGAGGACCTGCCCGGCAGCCTGCCCAGCCCCCATAGGTGGCCCCTCCTGCCTCACCCCGTGTCCTTCGAGTCTAACAAGCGTATAAATGCAATAACAGGTAGAGTAGAACCGCTTGGTGGGTGACCGGCACCCACGTCCACTGCCCCGTTGCACCTGCAGGGAGACTGCTGCGCAGCCCCTCCTTAGCACATCTGGTCCCAGCTTGGTCCCTGGCGGTGGCTGCAGGCAGGTTCTGGAGGGTGGCGGTGGACACTGTGGGAGCCTGACGTGCCCTCGCCTGGCCAGCCGGCCACTGGAACCCTGGGCCTGAGTGGAGGCTGAATCTGAAATAAACTCTGTTGTCTAAAGGCTGGGCTGGTGTCCTCGCCTGCACGGGGCCGGGAGAGGCAGGAGCTTCCTGTTGGGACATGGCGGGTCACATATCCACACTGCGGGCTTTCGGGGAGGGGTGGGGAGTCCCGGGTGCCCCTCACCAACCCCTCCTGCCAACACCATGCGCTTGATCCTAATGGGCTCTACCCATGGCCCTGCCCGGGCCCTGCCCCATCCCATGCAGCCACAGCCAGGCCTTCCTGCTGGTCAGGGCCTAGGGGCTGCAGGATCTACCCCAGGCCCGGGCTGCCAGCCACAGTGCATGGGGCAGAGCTGGCACTGGAGGAGGGAGGATGCGGGAGTGGGAGGGGGACCTGGCTCCTCAGGCTGACCTCTCCAGCCAGGGGGCCCCTTTCTCCACCCCTCTGTGCAGTGAGCTCCCCATCCCTGGGGGTGGGGGGGTGGCGCAGAGGCTGCGGCGGGGTGCTGGGCGGCTTCCTCCTCTCATCACCTCCCGCCCACAGCTCCCTGAGCCCACTCTGGCCAGGCGTCCAACTGGCCAGGCCTGCCTGTGACCCCAGCTGCGGACAAGGCTGTTGGGGTGCAGGCTGGGGAAGCAAGGCCCCACTGGGCCCCAAAAGTGCTCCTGTGGGCTTTGTGACCCTGGGGCCCTCCTCCCCCCAACCTTCTTCCAGCTTTCGGGGGGTGGGGGCATGTCCTGCCCTTCTTTTCCCAGTACCCACCCTCACAGGATGGCCCACCCACATCTCAGGCCCAGATGAGTCCTGAGAGCTTCCTTGGGATGAAACATCCTTAACAGATCGACGAACCCTCGGCCCAGACCCGCCCCTCCTCCAGTCCTGCAGCCTGACCACTGCCCGTGCTGGACTCCTCTGAGTCCAGGGGGCCACCTGCCCCGGGGCCACTGGGGCCTGAGCCCCCCACACCAAGGGGAGGGGCTGCCACACTGAGGGGAAGTGCTACCCAGCAGAGCGGCCACTGCCCACACCTCCAGCTTCCAACCCACCTGCCCCACAGGTGCCAGGGCCGCCACTCAGGCACTGTGGGGTCACTCACCAACCTCTCCTGCCGTCCAGTCCCCTCTCCCATTCTCTCTACTCCGTGGCTTGCCTACCTTTCTGACATTTTAGGGGCTTGGGGAGGGAGCAGAGGTGACTGTGAGGGTGGGCTCTGTCATCTTCAACCAGAAGTCCAGGACTTGGTCCTTTTGATGCTGTGATATTCCACCCATGATGCTGCCTCGTTTTATTTATCAATTCCCTGTTCAAGGATGTTTAGGTTGTTTCAAAATTTTTGTAACTTTAGACAAAGGAGTGATGAAAATCCTTGTATGGCCCCTGCTCCCTGTGTCTCTGGGAGTGTGTGTACTGTGTACACATCTTGCTTCTGTTTGTTTTCTTATGGGAAAATAGACATCACAAAATTTACCATTTTATTTTAATCTTTCAGGCACACAGTTCAGTGGTGTGAAGCACATTCACATTGTTGTGCAAGCATCACCACCATCCATCTCCAGAACTTTCCATCTTCCCAAACTGAAACTCTGTCCCCATTAGACACCAACTCCCCATACCCTCTCCCAGCCCCCTTTTGCTTTCTGTCTCTATGAATTTGACTCTAGGGACCTCCTATGAGTGGAATCATACAGGCGACTGGCTTGTTTCACTCAGCATAACGTGCTCCAGCTCCATCCATGTGTCAGAATTTCCTTTCTTTTTAGGGCTGAGTAATATTCTGTTGTACGGATAGACCACGGTTTGTGCATCCATTCACCTGTTGATGGACACTTGGGTCACGCCCACCTTTCTACTGTTGTGAATCATGCTGCTGTGAACACGCGTGTGCACACATCTCTTGGAGACCTGCTCTCCCTTCTCTTGGATGTATTCCCAGAGGTGGGCTCGCTGCCTCTGCAGCGTGCGCATCTTAAACTCTGCTGCCCCATCTCATGCCAGCTGCTCGGCTGTGAGGCCCACTGTTCCCCTCGCCCTGGCACCACGGGGTGGGGTGAAGCACTTGAGATTATCCCAGTCCCAGCGGGACAGACTGGCTTCTAAACTTGCACAGATCTGATGTGCTCTTTTTCACATGGTTCTCCGCCACCTCGGTCTCGCCTTTGGTGATTTTTCCCGTGGGTGGCATGTCTATTTTTCTGTTGGGTAGAATGCCTCCTTCTCATTTTGGGGAGGATTTCTTCAAGTGTTTTGCATGCTAAGCCTTGGCCATGTGGCAAATATCTTCACTCGGTGGCTGGCTTGCCTCTCGCTCTGCTTCCTGATGACAGAAGTTCTACAGTCTGCGTTTATCACACGTGACCATTGTCCCTTCTACCATGAGAGCTCTCGGAATCTTGGCTAGAAGGGTGTTCTCCTTGTACTTGTCTCATATTCTCAGCATCGATGCACGTGCAGGCTTGACTCCATCTGGCTCATGAGTTTCGTGTGTGGAGGAAGCTGGAGCTCTGATGTCATTTTTGTGCTGTCAGCAGATCTGGTGGCCTAGCATCGGGAGGTGGACGGTCCCCCATCCTCTCGCCGTCACCTCCCGGCACAGCCGGGGCCTGTTCTGAGCCGGGGTCTGCCCGCACTGCCCAAGGCCATGCTGGGCCAGCGACTGTAGCTCTGTCATATCACCTCATAACGATGCAGTTTGTTCTCTTCTTTTAACCTCCCGCACATGCTCAGTGACTGGCAGCCCCTCCCCAGGAATGTTAGAGCCGGTTAGCTGAGGTCCCTGGGGCCCCGTGCGGGGTTCTCATTTATCGTGTCCTAAACCTGAGTAATGTAGGGACCCTTCCAAAATGAAAAACCCTCTCGGAGACGCCCCGGGCTGGTTTAAATTATTTTAACTACAGAACTCCTTTTTTTTTTTTTTTTTTTTGTGAGGAAGACCCTGAGCTGACATCCGTGCCAATCCTCCTCTTTTTGCTGAGGAAGACTGGCCCTGGGCTAACACCCGTGCCCATCTTCCTCCACTTTATATGGGACGCCGCCACAGCATGGCTTGACAAGCGGTGCGTCGGTGTGCACCCGGGATCCAACCCTGCGAACCCCAGGCCGCTGCAGCGGAGCTCGAGCACTTAACCGCTAAGCCACCGGGCCAGCCCCAGAATGAGGCTTCTGGTTGGCAAGGCTGCACACCACCTGCCCCTGTGCAGGTTGCCCACCCCAACTCCAAATGCCATGGGGGACCTATACCCCCACAGGCTTGCCCATGCTGGGAGCTGGCGACACGCCTAAGCACTCTGCTGTGGACGGGGGTCACACGCACACATGTGGCCTGGATCAAGGTTGGGTCACGCACGTACGAGATCTGAACCCAAGATTATGCGCACGCAGGAGACCTGGCCTCGGAGCTCTGCTCCCCCTGCTCAGCCATGTGGGCCCACCGGGCAGGCATCCTGAGAGGTCCCAAGTGTACACTAGGGCACACATCGTCTGTGAGCACAGGGGCACGCTCACATGTGCACGCACACACCAGCCTTGTCACACAGTGTCATGGCCGGGGCATCCTCTTCCTAAGAAACAGAAACAACTCTGCTACTGAGTCCGTGTGCTGGAGGAGACGGTGGTGGGCAGGCTCCTGGAGACGCAGCTCTTCCCCACCCGTCTTCCCTCCTGCACCTGGGCCTTCCCTCCTGCACCTGGGCCGGCTCAGCCAGCTCTGGTGCCTTAGGGACGCCCTGGGGCCGTGCAGGTGGGGCTGGGCCAGTAGGGGACCTTCATCCACAGGGAGGGACCCTCAATCCACCGGGACCCCTTGGCCCCTCCAGCTCCTGGGTCTGACACTCATGGACGTGCATGGGGGAGGAAGGACACCCCCTCCCTAGACCCAGAAAGCTCTCCGCGCGGCTAGGCCCAGCCTGTGGTCTGATCTCAGGCCTGTGGGTCTCCATCCAGTCTCCCCCACCCACCCAGCGCAGGCCCCAGGCTCCTGTCTGAAAGCACCGCCAGTGCCAGGAACCCCCAGCTCCTGCTTCACCCCGGGGCGGGAAGGCCCCGTAGTGGGTGAGGGCGGGGTGCTCCTGACTGTGTAGCTGGCGGTCAGGGCCTGTGGGGGCATGGGGCTGGGCTGGGCAGAGGGCAGAACCAGGGGTTGTGGAGGCAGGGGGCGCCCAGGGGAAGCGCCTCAGCCTATACTTGCCCACTTGGGCAGTTCTCACCATGACAAAGGTTTCCCTGGTCAGAGCAGAGGCTGGCAGGACCTTGGGGGAACCCTGTGGCAGCCCCTCCACACTGGGGGCCCTGAAGGGGGACTATGGGGGCCAAGGGGGGCCTCTCTTCTCTCCAGCCCAGGCCTTAGAGAGCACCCCCCAATCTGCTGAGGACCCATTTGTACACCCCCCACCCCCAACTGCCTCTTCCAGTCCGGAAAAGCCACTTCAAATGCAGGCTGCCAAACAGCACCCTGATTCCCTTACCAAACTCAGCACCCCTGAAGCACCCTCACCTCAGGAAGAACACCCCCATTCTTCCAGGGGCTCAGCTGAACCCAGTGACCCCGTTACCTGTCTCCCAGAAACCATCCTGGTGAGGTGGGACCCATCCACCTCCCACCTCCACAGACACCTGCAGACCCCTCCCCCGTCTCTGGGCTCCCACCCTCACCCTCAAAGGGACCCACCGCTGCAGGCCGCCCCCCTGCCTGGAGCTGCAGCTTTCGCCTCCTGAGACGCAGGCCTCCGTTATTTCCATCTGAGCTCCCCCGCCCCATCTCACCCTCTAACAAACTGTGCAGTCATCTTCCATGAATCCACAGTCCAGCCCTACCCTCAGGACAGGAGCCCCACTGGGCAGGGCACTTTGCCCTGACATTTCATGCTGTGTCCCCAGTGCCAGCTTGGATGGTGACACAGGTAGTTCTCAGTGATCGAGTTAAATGCCTCGATCCACAGGCAGGCAACCCTCGTCCATGGCGGGGGGAACCTTTGTCTTCGGAGAGGGACCTTTATCCACAGGGAAGGAACCCTCATTCACAGGGACGGATCTTTATCCAGGGGGAGAGACCCTCATCCACGGGGAGGGACCTTCATCTATGGGGAGGGACCTTCACACACAGGGAGTGACCATCATCTACAGGGAAGGGACCCTCATTCATGGGGAGGGACCTTCACCCACAGTGAGAGGACCCTCATCCAAGGGGAGAGGCCTTCGTCCACAGGGATGGACCTTCATCCATGGGGAGGGACCCTCATCCACAGGGAAGGACCTTGGTCCACAGGGAGGGGACCCGCGTCCACGGGTAGTGACCTTCATCCATGGGGAGGGACCCTCGTCCACGGAGCAGGGGGCTTCTCTCCCGGGTCACTGCCCTGCCCGAATAAGGGACAAGGGAAGGGGAAGGAACTGTGTCCTGACCGCGACAGGCCCGTGCCAGGGGTCTACTCAGGGCTGCTGAGACTTCCGGCCCGGGAAGACCCGCGGGGCTCCCTCCCGTCCGCCGCGGCCCAGCTCAGAGCCCTCTGCAGGCTCTGCGGGACAGAGCCGCAGGTGTCGGGAAACGGCTAAGCACTTCGCGCGCGCGGCGGACTCCGACCCGGGCCCACGCTGGGAGGGAGGGGGCGGAGCCCGCGGGAGGAGGGAGGGTGCATGCGCGCGGGCGGCACGTGACCCGCGTCTTCCGGCCGCGCGCGCACACGCACGCTCCGCGCACGCGCAGTCCGCGCCGGCTGCAGCTGATCTCATGGCGTCCGAGAGGCTCCAGAGCCGGCCGGCCTGCCTGCTGGTGGCCAGCAGCGCCGCCGAGGGTGAGGCCCGCGCGGGCGGGAGGGCGGGCGCCCGGGAGGCCGGCCTCGAGCACCCGGGCGCGCGCGTGGTCTCGGGAGGGAGTAGAGCCGCTCCGAGCGTCTGGTCCGGGCAGCCGCGGGTGGGCCCGGGCCTCTGCGGGGAGACGGTCTCGGTGCGGCCTGCGAGTGCTCAGCGGGGGCCCCCCGGGCAGAAGGAGCCGGTCAGTCGGGGGCCTCCGTGCGGCAGGGCCGCTGCCCCAGGGCCCCGGGGAGGGTGTGCGGAGGACGCGGGGTCGGCAGGCCTGGGGAGCACGGCCCTTCTGAGCGGTAGGTCAGGAGCGTGTCCTCCGTGCCCACCGCTCCGCCGCCCCGCCTAGCACACCCCCAGGAGGGCGAGGGGTTGGGGAAGGGACGGTCCTGGTGGACGGGGAGGTGTGGGGGCAGAGCAGGTAGGCCGGAGGGCGCCCGGCGCTGCTCTGAGCACTTCCCAGATCCTCACCTGTGCTTCCTCTGTCGCTGAGGGCAGTGATGAGCCCAAGGTGGCATCTCGGGGAGGTGGAGGGCCACGGTTGGGCCCTCGGGTCTGGCTCTGGAGCCTGGTCTCTTTCTCAGCCTCTGTAGCTGCCCAAGTGGGTGAGGTAGAGAGGGCTGCGGGTCATGAGGTCACGGGGTGCTGAGCCCCAGGGGCCTTGAGTGGGGTTTCCAGAACAAGGGCGGGAGGAGGCGGGGTCCCCCCCACCCTCTACATGGGGAGATCGAGGTGTGAGGAGCCACTGAGAATGGAGTTCAGTCCTGGAGAGGCAGGTTATGGGTTATCTCCAAAGGTGGCTAGTTGGAACGGGATGAGAGTGAGGAGGGGTCGCATCAGCTTGACTGTGCCGCAGGGAGGGGATGTTGAGGACATGGGGTGGGGGCACAGCTCTGAAAAGGCCGCTAGGCTCTGTGGGCAGGACAGGTGGGCCCCCCAGCATTCCTTCAGGGGGCCCTGGGCCGAAGCCGATGGGAGTGGGGAAGTGAGGGTTGAGGAACTGGGAGGGCAGAATTGGGCAAAGTCCAGAGATGATTTGGGGAGACTGTCTCTGTTCAACATGTGGGCTCTTTATGATGAATATGTGTTAATTTGTAAGAGTGAATAAAAATGAAAATAAGGGTTAGGGATTGGGTCCTAGGATTAAAATAAAGATGGGGAAACGCTGTCAAGCCCATTTAGAAGTAGACGTCCCTGTTGGGGCTGCAGCCTCTAGCAGCCAGGAGCCTTCCTGCTGGGCCAGGGCAGAGGGCTAGGAGCAGCGTGGGGGATGGGGGCGGGATGCGGGAGCTCTTGTGAGGAAGGGGCAGCATGTCTTTGGGTGAGGGTGAGGTGGTATCTCCGCCTGTGGGGAGGGGTCGGGATTCACACGTCCTACTGCTGACACTTGCCTCAGCCCCACCTCCCTGGACCCAGGCCTTGCTCACTGCCGCCCCTCCCTGGTGGTTCTGTGAGCGAGCGAGCTGTGTGAGGGAGATGCACACGTGGGTTTGCCTTCTGGACAGGCCTCTAGTGGCCAGGCCTGGAAGAGAGCCCACCCTGGGGATGAAGGGCCCAGTGGGCAAGGGCTGGTGCCCAGGGCTGTGAGAGGTGGGCCCCGGGTTGGGGGGTTGGGGGCTGCTCCCCATGGTAGTTCTGGGGCCAGGAGAAGCCCTGGGGTCTGGGCAGCCTCCGGCGTGCGCGGGTGGGGGTGGAGCTGTCTCGCCCTGCACCCACCAGGGATGTGCCCTTCTCGCAGGTGTGTCGGCCCAGTCCTTCCTCCACTGCTTCACGCTGGCCAGCTCTGCCTTCAACCTGCAAGTGGCCACCCCTGGGGTGAGTCCAGCCACCCCTTCTCCAACGAGATGTGCCGGGTCCATAATTTGGGGGGCGAGGCCAGGAGAGTGCTGTTCCCTGGGAGGAGCAGGGAGCCTGAGGTTGTGACCCCAGGGGAGCTGGCCTGCGCCGAGGGGCCAGGACTCTCAGTGGCATCATCAGGCTCTGGTCCCAGCCCGTGGTGAAAGGGGACCTTGCGTCGTGGGTTGGTATCTCTGGACGTGTGAGAGAAGGACGGCACAGCTTCCACCAGGAGGAGTTCTCACCTCCCACTGGTGCGGGACTCGGGGGTCATGGCCATGACGTGTCATGTGTTTGTCACTTGCACCTTTTCAGTGTTACCCCCGAGGTGGGGGGGACAGCTGCTGTTGCTTATAGTGGGAGACTGAGGGCCAGGGAGGGGCAAGTGGGGGTTGGGTGTGGCGAGGCCCCGGAGGGGGCTGGGCTGTTGGTTACCTTGTCCCCGAGGGGCTGCTGTCGTCTCAGCCCTCGTCAGCCTTTCCTTGAGTCCCTGTGAGCCGACAGCGGGTGTCCGGTGCTGACCCTGGTCTCTGGGCTCCGCAGGGGAAAGCCATGGACTTTGTGGACGTGAACGAGACCAACTCGCGCTGGGTGCAGGACTTCCGCCTCAAGGCCTACGCCAGCCCCGCCAAGCTCGAGTCTATCGACGGTGAGGGGCTGCGGGCGCCTGAGAACATGGAGGGTCGGGTGTGTGGGGTTCCAGGTGGGTTTGTGGCTCCCACAGCACTCCCTCACTCTGCTCCTGAAGTGCTCTGGGGCTTGCTGCAAGGTGCCGTGACCGTCCGGGGCAGCGTCCAGTCCTGCGTCCTGGGCCCGGGGTTCCCAAGCTCCGTCTGGGGAGAGAGGTGGCGGCACATGGAGACGTGGGAAGGTGGTGCCCGGGCCTTGGCAGCCTCAGCCCATGCAGGGAGAGTGACAGGTGACGGCAGCTGGCCGGCCGGAGCAGAGAGGAGCCGGGCTGATCCCTGTGGAGGGCCTGGTCCCGCCAGCGACCCCGCTCTCTGTGACTGACCGGCCTGTGGTCTCCCCCAGGTGCCCGGTACCACACCCTCCTGATCCCCAGCTGTCCGGGAGCCCTGTCCGACCTGGCCAGCAGCGGGTCCCTGGCCCGCATCCTGCAGCACTTCCACTCCGAGAGCAGTAGGTGACCTCTGGGACAGGGGTGGGGGTTCTGTAGAGGCCTGAGAAACGGGACTCCACCAATGGGGAGGAGAGGCAGGAAGACGCCGGGATGTGGTGGGGGAGGGCTGTGGGCAACGACGGCCGTGGAGCGCAGGGTTCAGGGTTCAGAGCTGGAAACGTGGGGTCACTTCAGGAGCCAGACAGAGCCGATGTGAGGAGCCTGATTCTGACCAGTGAGTGGACAAGCTTGCTTGGCTGTCCACACACACGGGGGTGGGGTGCCCCCACCCCATCCCTCCTCCTTGACTTTGTGCCCTCAGGTCACCATGCCTGCGGGCCCTCTGCCTGTCCCCTGCTGGGACTGGTGACTGTGCCCCCCCACTGGGCTCCTCCGAGGTGGGTGGGCAGGATACTGGCTTTGTTCCTGGTGGGGTTTGGGGTTCCAGGGCAGCAAGGGGCTGAGAGGAAGGCTGCTCTGTGGAGACACGGCCTGCCGGCCCGGTCTGGTGTTGGGCTGTGATGGGCATGTTGGCAGGACGGGAGCGGGATGCTCATTAGGGACCAACAGGAAGAAAGCTGGGGGCTGCACATGGTGTTCTTTGTTGGTGGGGACGTAGCCTCCTCTCCCCAGCGTGGTCTGGACAGGCAGCGATTGTTCTTGGCCGCCTCGGCCATGGGAACGCACTTGTGCCAGGCCCTTCTGGGAGGAAGGCTTGGAGCCAGGGTGACCGCTCGGCGGGACGGGGGCACCGTCTCCAGAGGGACGGGAGGAGGGGCAGTGGGTGTGGAGCCCTCCTGGGTTTGGCAAATGGACCTGAGCGCCCTTGTGACTCCTTGTATCTGGTTCTTGGCCACCAAGACGTGAGGAGATTTGGGCTCTAAGCCCAGCCTGGTCCTGAAGCCACAGCCCTTGATGTTTCCGGGCAGAGGAAGGGGAGTGGGAGGGCAGATGGGGGCAGTGGCCTCCAGGAGCTCCTTGGTGGCGGTGTTGGGAGAGGGCAGGAGGCCCGGGCAGGCGTCCAGGGCCTCAGGCCTCGCCCTGCCCACTGTTTCAGAGCCCATCTGTGCTGTTGGCCACGGTGTGGCTGCCCTCTGCTGTGCCACCAACGAGGACAGGTCCTGGGTGTTCCAAGGCTACAGCATGACAGGGGTGAGTGCAGCGCAGGGTCCCTGGTTGCAGACGAGCCCAGAGGTCTGCACCTGTGCCTGAGAGCGGGGCCATGGTCCCCTCTGGAGTTCTGGCACAGGCCAGCGGTTCTTTGTGCTCTGCGCCCCCCTCCCTGCTGACATCATCCACGCCGCCCCCATGGCGCAGGGCCCCAGCCCTGGTCACTAAGCTGTGGACGCATGGGAAGGGAGTCCGGCAGGAAGGCTCTGCTGCAGGGGGAGGTGGGTTCGGGCCGAGGCCTTGCTTCCCTTCCTGTGGAGGGCACGATGCCCTTTGTTTCCAGGAGGTGGTGCTGCTGTTTGGGTGGAGGGCCTGGGTGGCCCGGGAGCCAGAGTGAGGGTCCTGGGGAGGGAGGGTCTGTGCGGTGAGCCCCGAGGCCAGCCTGGTGTGGGGTTCAGGGCAGGGCGGGAGGAGAGGAGCCGGGCTCCTCAGTCGAGCTCCACGGCCTCCTCGTGTCGCTCGGCGCCCTCTCCCCACCCTTCCAGCCACCGAGAGGCTCAGCTGAGGCCCCCTGCCCAGCTCATTCTGGTCACCCATGTGCCCTGGTTCTGGGGGAGCAGATAACAGCCATCCCCTCCCCCACAGCGGCCCTGTGACCCCGAGACGTCCCATGGCGGGAGGGCCTCCCCCTCGGCCCCAGCCTCTGGCACTGTCTACCTTAGCCCAGAGGTCCGAGTCATGGAGCAGTGATTCACACCCCCATCCCCACCCCCACGTGTAGGGCCTGGCCCCCTGCCCTGGTTTGGACCTGCCTGACCTGGGGCGGGTGCCCGCTTCCCCGCAGCCCTCCGTGTACGAGCTCATCAGGGCGCCTGGCTTTGCCCGCCTGCCACTCATCGTGGAGGACTTCGTGAAGGACGCGGGTGCCAGCTTCAGTGGTGAGCTGGGCGGGCACTCACTGGAGGCAGTGGGGCTGCCTGCTGCAGCCTGTGGGCAACAACGGCCAGGCCAGCCACCCAGAGCTGAGTGTCCAGTCGACACTGGTGGCCGGCAGCTCTGAGACCCAGCAGCCTGACCCACTCAGTGGCCGCCGGAGTCCACCAGGAGCTCGTGGCTCCTGAGATGGTCGGTGGGGGTCATTCTTGGGGCCGAGCCTGGTGAGTGGCATGGCCTGAGGCCTGTGTCCTCGGGCCTCCTGCAGCCAGTGAGCCTGATGCCGTGCATGTCGTGCTGGACCGCCACCTCATCACCGGCCAGAATGCCAGTTCCACCGTCGTGGCCCTGCAGAATCTGCTCTTCCTCTGTGGCAGCAGGTGAGGGGCGGTGGGCGGCGGCGGGGGTCGGTTCCTGGCTCATAAGCGGCCCTGTTGCTGGGCCAGCTTGGCAGTCCTGCTCTGGTGCCGGTGCCTGAGCCTTGACCCGGCGCCTGTCCTGCAGGAAGTGAGGCTGAGCCAGCCCGCCTGCCAGCGCCACCTCCAGACGGCCCAGGTGTGCCCTCCTCAGGCCTCCAGGGACCCCGCTCTGTGACAGCCTCGGAGAGTGACTTTCAGACCTCCTGACCTGGCCCAGTGGGATTGTTGGAGGCCTCCAAGGAGCAGCCCTGAGGGGCGTCAGCTCGGGGGTGGGTGGGGGCGGCCCCAGCCTCCAGCACGTCCTCCTTGGGGCAGAGGCAGACAGTGCTGAGGTGTTGCACTGGCCCCAGGCGGTCACTGAAAAGTCCAGGCTGAGTGTTCCCTGGGGAGGTGGTGCTGAGTGAGTCGGCTCTGGGGGTCCCGGGATGGGGTCTTCGCCCCTCTGGTCTTCCTGGGGCCGGCACTGGATGGCCGAGTCTCTCCCCTCTGCCTGTCCCTGTCCACCCGGGTGGAGCAGGGGCTGAGCCTCCCCAGGAGCCAGGATGACCATGCCAGCTGGGCCAGGGCTCTGGGAGCCCGCTTCCGGGTGGTGAGGGCTGTGCTTAGGCCTGTGTGCTGCCCCCCACCCCATTGGGCGTTGGTGGGGCCCTGTGGGGTGGGGCCAGCTGGCTGGAGCTTGCTCAGCACTTTCACTCCCCGAAGGTGAAGAGGGTCTCCTGGGGGCCACAGCTCCTAATCCCCAGACTGGGTGGTGCCGAAGGATGGGTCTGAATGTTAACCTTGCCTGGGGAGTGGTTTCAAAACAGGATGGTGACCCCATGTGAGGCCAGGATGGACCTCAGGGCGGACACCGCACTGTGGCCGCATCCCTTCTGACATTGAGAGAAACACGTTTAATTGTGAATACAACACCGTGGGTTTCTTAAGAAGACAGCGCTGCTCACCAGGCCCTGCCCGATAGCCCCAGGTCACGTGGCCGTGCCCAGTTTTGCAGCTGCTCCGCAGGTTTCGGGGTGGAAGTGACGGAAGTGTAAGCTCCACTTGGAAGGAGGCCTGGTGTGTGGCCTCCTGGGTCAGCTGGGGTGGCGCTCAGTCCTCGTTTCCCAGGCCCTGGCCAGGACTTTGCTGGGGATGCCGTGCAGCTGTCCAGCCGGCTCCCTCCCAGCGCAGCGTGCTCGTGCTCCAGCCTCCCCGGGCGTCTCGCCTGGGCGTTGGCCCTGGGGTGAGGCCTCCAGGAGCCACTCGGGTCCTCTTGGGTGTTCCCCACCTTCCTGTCCCCCCTCCTCACTGGCTCTGCCTCATCCAGCCCTTCAGAGCAAAGAAGGAAGGAAGGAAGCAGGGCCACCCCCCTAGTCCCAGACCGCTTCCTTCTAGCCACATAGACCACGTGGAGATGCCGCTGTACGTGCCCTCTGTTGGTGTTTCCTGGGAAGATGGTGTCCCGGGAAGAGTTGTCCTGCCCTCCGTAGAACGGGCCTAGCCAGCTCCCCTGCAGGGCTCGGTCAGCCCCCATGGCTGCAGTGGCTGCAGTTATCACCCCGTGGTGATGGACGTCTCTGGACAAAAGGGTTTTTTAAAGATGGTGCCTGGGCCGGCCCTGTGGCTTAGCGGTTAAGTGCGTGCTCTCTGATGCTGGCGGCCCGGTTTCGGATCCCGGGCGCACACCGACGCACCGCTTCTCCGGCCACGCTGAGGTCGCGTCCCACATACGGCAACTAGAAAGCTGTGCAACTATGACATACAACTATCTACTGGGGCTTTGGGGCGAAAATAAATAAATAAATCTTTAAAGATGGTGCCTTAGGGTCGTTACATACGTTATCTACAAAGAGCTCATAACACTTGCCAAGGGCTTGTGATCTGTGCTTCTCAGCTTTCCAGACCAAGGCGCAAGGTGGGCTTTGCGGAGGGGCCCCCAGCCCTGTTCCCTGGGTGCCCCGTGGTGGCTCAGTCCAGGGTCTGCTAGGTCCAGGGCCCGGGGCTGGGGGCTGGGGCAGCCCACGAGGCTGGCAGGAGGAGGAGAGCGAAGACCTCCAGGAAGGTGCAGGGAGTGGGTGCAGGTGCCCTTGGGGATTTCCCCACATGCCCAGGGTATTTCAAACAGACTGACGTCTGCCCAAAAGAAATAAAAACCTACAACCCCATGGAAATGGTGCATGGACGTTCCTAGCAGCATTGTTCATGGTAACGAATGGGTAAGCAAGTTGTAGCTCCTGTAAATGGAATATTCTTTTTTTTTTTTGTGAGGAAGATCGGCCCTGAGCTAGCATCTGCCAGTCCTCTTTTTGCTGAGGAAGACTGGCCTAGGGCTAACATCTATGCCCATCGTCCTCCACTTTTTTTTTTTTTCCAAGCTGAAATTTTATTTAAAATGTAAAAGAAGTGGTTCTTGAAAACATCCTCCACTTTATATGGGACGCTGCCACAGCATGGCTTGCCAAGCAGTACATCGGTGCGCGACCAGGATCCGAACCGGCGAACCCAGGGCCGCTGCAGCGGAGCGTGCGCACTTAACCGCTTGCACCACCGGGCTGGCCCCTGGAATATTCTTATTAATGGACAATGTTAATATCCTTACAGTGGAATATTATTTGGTCATAAAAAGGAATGAAATTGTGATAACATTCTACAACATAGGTGAACCTTGAAAACGTCATGCTGAGTGAAAGAAGCCAGACATAAAGGGCCACGTGTGTTATGTCATCAATATGAAACATCCAGAAAATGCAAACAAAATAGGTCATTTGTGGGCAGGAATGGGCACAGGGCCATGATATCTCCTTTTGGAGTGATGGAAAGATTCTAAAACTAGATGGTAGCTATGGCTTTACGGGCCCAAAAGTCATTGGATGGTATACGAGTGGTGGGCTCAGCGTATGTCATATCCGCAGTTGCGCAGGCACCGACCCGAGTCTCATCCCGAGAGCTCTGTGTCCTAGGATGCAGCCCATTGACCAGCTCAGGGAGAAGCCTTGGCCTCCCATCCCACCAGGCAGCCGAGGGCTGGGAGGGACGGGGCAGAGGGTGAAGCCCCGCCCACCACTTGGACACCCCCCGCCCACCCCAAGGCTGCCTCCTCAGCACCCTGGATGGGCTGACCTGCCCAGAAGGGCCAGGCTGGGGCACCTGAGGTGGCGCAGCCCATGGTGGGCCCCGTCCCCACAGCCCTGTGCTGTCTGTGGTGCTGCCCCTGCCCTTGGGGAGGGCGGCCAAGAGGCCACTCCAGAACCACGGGCTCCCAGCTCACCCACAGGGCCTGTGCCTGACATCCCTGCAGAGAGCTGTGGGGAACTGGGGCCTGGGCCTGCTGAGGGCTCCCGGGGAGGGGGTAGGAGGGGCTGCCCAGAGCAGGGGAGGGGCACTGGGGACTCCCTGCTGACCCTCAGCCGGACCCAGGGCACTGTGTCAACAGGTCTGTCTCGACACCCTGCTGCAGCTGCACAGACCAAGAGTGGCCAGCCCTCTACACCAGGGCAGGGGGTGGGCAGACAGGGCCCTGGTACCGCCCCCCCCAGCTTGGGGACAGTCTCACCTAGACCCTGCATTGCTCCTTCCAGGAACAGAGGCTAGCCCCAGGGGAGAGAGAAGGGCTACTCTGTGGATCACCTGTCACTGCCCCCAAGCCCTTCCCCGTGCAGCATGCAGCATGGAAAGTCCAAAAAGTGCAATGAAAGTGTCTCTTCACGAGCTGTGCCATGCCCATCACTCTGAGTTTCAGAGGTGCGTCCAGAATGTTGTGGTTTCTAAGCTGGTGGCCAGTGCCGTCCCCATGAGGTGGCGCCACTGCCCTGCACGGGAGCCTGGCATCCCAGGAAGGCCTGCCTGGCCGGTATGGGGGCAGCCTGGATAAGAGGCAGGATGAGCTGTCCCTAAAGCAAGAGGGAGGTTGAGCAGGTGCTGCTCCTCTCTGCTGGCACTGGCGTCTGCACAACTGGAAGCGCAGTGCAGTTTCGACGCTGGGGGCCCCTGGGACTCCCTGTCCCCAACTCCACTAGCAGCCCCTACGGGCCTGGGGCTCATCAGGGGCTCTGGGCACAGAAGTGCTTGGGCTGGTCCCCACCTTCCAAGTCAAAGGCCTCCCAAGCTCCCAAGTCACGCCGCCCGGTTCCTGAGGTGAGGGGCTGTAACTGCCTGTCACCCCAACTGAGTGCCCTTGCAGGGCTCTGGACCCAACCCCCTCTCCGTCAGGCCCAGGGTGCAGCCGACAGCTGGGCCGTCGGTGGCCAGGGGGCAAGGGGATGGGGCCAGTGAAATGAAACAGCACAGGAAAAGTGACAGCTTTAATGCATTAGGCAAAATTTTACATAAAATCAGAAATGTATGATCCATCCCCGCTCCAATTGTAAAAAATGCAAGATTCATCGCAAGGCATGTGCAATCAGATCCCAATTCAAAGATGTCCAGCTGCAGGCACCGCACTACTTGCCATTCTCTGCGCTGAACATTCGTTCCTGCAAACGGACAGTGTGAGAGATGCCGGAGCGCAGTGGGCAGCTCACTGCCTGCCTTTGGCACAAGACTGGAGGGCCCTCTGCCAGGTCTGCACCCAGGGCAGGGTCCCAGCAATCCTGGGGATCTCCTGGGGCCACAGAGCCTGACAGTCACCGCCCCGGCTGCCAGAGGCGCGGACACACGGGGTCCCGCAGAGTTCCAGCTCAGCCCGGGCACTCACCGTCAGCATCCGCTCCAGCTTCACGGCGTCCGCAGCAAACTTGCGGATGCCGTCGGAGAGTTTCTCCACGGCCATCTGGTCCTCGTTATGCAGCCAGCGGAAGGCCTTCTCGTCCAGGTGGATCTTCTCCAGGTCGCTGGCCTGGGCTGGGGGAGGACACACCAGGGCCTTCCACGCCTGCCCGCGCCCTGATGGCACCTGCCCATCCAGACCCTCGGGCTCAGAGCCACCCTGAGCCCTCACTGCCTGGGGTCTCCCACGCGGCAGGTGGGACACAGGCTGCCTTAGCCCTGGCT